CATGAATGCTTGACTATGTGTGATTAGGAGATGAATGCTTACTCGTTTTGTGCTAGAGTGTGATTTATCTACCTAGAGTTTAGCTAGCATGAGAATGTTATGTGATTACCATCCCGTTGCGTTTATGACTTGAGATTCCGATGGTTTAGGTTGCGAATTGCTCGTCTTTTGATCTTGCTTTCAATTAATCGCTCGTTGTTAAGTGCTCGTTAATGTTAATCAAATTCCCAATCAATCGTTTAGAATGTTTAGGACTTTATTTTCCCTTTTTGTGATTTTGGACGATCATCTAATAGACGAAGCTCCGAATAGCCTTCCCTCGAGATCGACCCGAGTCGGGTAACTCGGTTATCCCTTGCCCATCAAATCTATACTAAACAATTACTCGTTTAAACACTTTATAAACTTTTATTAACCATTGACCCAATCTGATCGTCAACAGTTTGACGCTAGAGGAAGGGCACCATAATTTATTTTGGTGTCAATTTTTCGATTTTGTGTAATACAACCTCAAACTTTATCTATTTCTTCACATTTCTCACGAAAACTTGCTAAAAATGACTTTATCTAGCCATAAGGAGTCAACCAATCAGTTCGAGGCCAAACGCACCATCGCAATGGCAAGAAAACGCCACCCCAGCGCCAACCAGAGCTGCAGAACACGACGCCACTAATCCCAACTTTTGCGGCGGCAATGCAATACCCAGACATCCTTAAGGTGCTGGAAGGCGCTTTCACCAAAGCGTTGTCAAACCATGCTGCCGGAGCGGCCACCATTGCCGCAACGTAAAATCTGGAGTAAGGCGACAACTTGAGCGGAGGCACATGCGCGCTAGAGTCAACCTGTTTCTGGGCTTCTTCAACACGAGCGTTGAATTGGGCGTAAAGATCCTAGACTCGAGGTTGGAGTTGATACATCTCCTCCATGTTGTTTTTATACAGACCGGTCATTTCTTCAGTGTGTTTCCTCTCCTGCTCGGCCTTCTGCTCTGCCCAAGACGCCCTCTCTCCCCTCAATTTGTCGGCCACCCTAGCCATCTCATCGGCTGCCTTGGTCCTACTTTCTTTGTCCTTCACAGCCTCCCCGCGAGCGAGGATGAGCGCGGTTTCCAGTTCGTCCATCTTATTCACTTTGTCGTTCAGGGAGCGGATTCATCTGTGGTAGAGCACGTGGTCTTCCTTCAGCTTCCTCAGTTTGGCCTAGGTCTTTCGCGTCTGATCGGCTGAGTGGAGAAGCTCGACCAACTCCCGGGACATCGTTGCAGCCGAATGTAGGATCAACTGCACCGTGGATAGCATCAGAAGAGAGGCCTCAGCAGTAGGTGTCCAGGCCACCATCAAAATCTAAGCAGCCTACATGACTTGCTCAGGTAGGCCGAACTTGTTGTGCAGGTCCACGCCCTTCACTGCCTTGACGCCCTCTCTCCCCTCAATTCTTCGGCCACCCTAGCCATCTCATCGGCCGCCTTGGTCCTACTTTCTTTGTCCTTCACGGCCTCCCCGCGAGCGAGGATGAGCGCGGTTTCCAGTTCGTCCATCTTATTCACTTTGTCTTTCAGGGAGCGGATTCATCTGTGGTAGAGCACGTGGTCTTCCTTCAGCTTCCTCAGGTTGGCCTAGGTCTTTCGCCTCTGATCGACTGAGTGGAGAAGCTCGACCAACTCCCGGGACATCGTTGCAGCCGAATGTAGGATCAACTGCACCGTGGATAGCATGAGAAGAGAGGCCTCAACAGTAGGTGTCTAGGCCACCATCAAAATCTGGGCAGCCTACATGACCTGCTCAGGTAGGCCGAACTTGTTGTGCAGGTCCACGCCCTTCACTGCCTTGACGTCAATAAACTATTCGTCGGGGAATTCGGGGAGGTTCTTCTAGAAGCGTGCCTTTTTCCTCTTGTCAATAGGAATGCTGGAATTAACCCTATCCTCGCGATCCAGGTCGAAACCTTCTCCCTCGCTGTCTTCCCTTTTTTGGATAGCAGTGGTGGTAGGGCCGCAGTGTCATCGCCAGAAGTGGTCGGCTCCTTTGTACAGGCTCGACGCCTAGTTGTCTTAGCGTCTGCATCTGACTTGTGTTGGCCGACACTGGGGGGCGGGCTCAGTTCAGCGATCACCCGTTCGACCACCTCGACCATCAATACGCCCTCCTACCGCGATATCTGCAATTAGAGGAACAGTGTTCTCGACTCCTGCCTAGCTTGAAGCCTGGGCCTTCTTTGCCTTCTCCATCGCCATTTTCAGCCGAGCAGACATTTCTTTCTTCATGTTCTTGAGCGGGTCTGGGTTGGAGAGAGCATATTTGTTTGCCTCATTCACATAAGTTAGCACGTGAAGCCTAAGAAGCGGATAAACTGCAGGAGCAAAAGTCAAAATATGTTTCGAGGCAGAATTGGTAAAATTTGTAATGGGTAAAAACACTGGAATGAATAGTAAGCAACCAGGACGGGCCAAGGTAGGTACCTGGAACGAAGGACTAGTTGTTGAGTTTGGGACACAAAACGTAATCAAGAAAACTATCCTCTTTGACAAGCTTTTTGTTGCTCTGATCTACAAGAAGAAGTTCGAGCAAAGTCTCGACCTTCACAGCAAGCTCGTCAATTATCGCCAAGTTCGGATTTCAGACTGAAAATGCAAAGACCGACCAGTTAGCATTAAAAAAAAACACAAAATTAGTAGGGAGGAGAAGTAAAGCAACTTACTCGCCCCGGTTGTGAGATGAACAGAAGCATGTCGAGATGCATCCTCTGTCTGCCACTCTCGGCCAACCCAGAACCAGTTAGGCATATAGCCGTGCAAGGTCTCAAGAAGCTCAACGACCAATGTTTTGTTGACATGGGGGAAAGCCAAATTGTAATAGTTTCCAAAGTCGCCAGACTTTTTAAAGGCGAACAAAGCCCGCAAATCATCACCGGTAGGGTCCGACCAGCCCCGCTTCTGAAACATAACAATAAATGCGATCAACCTCGCAAAGACAGTCGACACCAGCTGGCTGATGTCGATGCCAACCTCACAAAGAATGTCGTTGAAAGCACGAGGAAGCGGCAAGTGGAGCCCCTTGAGTACGCTATGACGATAAAATCTAACACAGCCCGGTGGTGGGCTTTAAATCCACTCGCCGGAATAGCACGTGAAAATTCAAACTCCAGGCCCAAGACTAGCCTTGCCCCTCAACTGAACGAGATTGACGTCTTTAAGAATGGATGGGATGAGGAAAGCCCGATGATGGCTAGAAGTCACCCAAACCCAGGGAGGTCGGCGCCAGAAATTGGTGGGAGCGACAGTCGACTCCTGGATTTGCGCGTCGGTCTCCC